AACCTCTCACTTATATAATTAACCTTTCACTCTCTTCTGGCATTGTCCCAAATAATATGAAAGTTGCCAGAGTTATTCCAATCTACAAAAAAGAAGATTCCTCCTTGTTTTCAAATTATAGACCGATATCAATTCTGCCCTGTTTCTCCAAATTCCTTGAACGAATAATTTACAATAGGATATCCGACTTTATCAATAAAAAAGATATTTTATATATGCATCAATACGCATTTAGAAAAAACCATTCTACTTGTCTAGCCATTCTTCATTTGATCGATAGCATCACTTCTTCGCTTGATCGCAAAGAACTCGTAATGGGAATTTTCCTTGATTTATCAAAAGCTTTTGACACGGTGGACCATGAGATTTTATTTGACAAGTTATATTTTTATGGTATTCGTGGTATCGCATTAGACTGCGTCAAAAGTTATTTTTACAATAGAAAACAATTTGTCCAATTCAACAAATCCTGTTCTGCTCCCCAAACTCTTGTATGCGCGGTGCCACAAGGTTCAATATTAGGGCCACTCTTCTTTCTGCTTTATATAAATGATCTTTATAATGTATCATCTAGTCTTCCAAAGATCTTTTTGTTTGCAGATGACACTAATATTTTGATCTCACACAAAGATCCCACATGTCTGACTGATATAGCAAATACTGAACTTGACAAAATTAACTCATGGTCAAAGCCAACAGGCTCTCGCTAAACATTAAAAAGACAAATTTTATGATATTTAAAACATTTAAAAAAGAAAATGTAATAATCGAACCACCATGCATAGACACTAAACAGCTTGAACGGCTAACGCTGACTTCATTTTTGGTAAGTCCTTGACCAGTGTAGTCCTTGACCAGCATTTATCTTGGAAACCTCATATCAACAAGCTGGCTACGAAAATAGCAAAATCAGCTGGTGTTATATTTAAATGCAGATTCTATCTGCGCAAAAAATGTTTCTTATCGCTGTATTATGCTTTAGTTTATCCTTATTTACATTACTGCAATCTAGTATGGGGGTCATCGTATGTAACAAATTTGCATATGCTGATCCTCATACAAAATGATGTCGTACAACTCTAAAATCACAAACAATAACTTACCAGGGTCCTGTTTATTGAAATTTCTTAATGATAACAGAAAAATGTTACCAAACCTTTTGCAGTTCAAATTCAAACTGAAAGAATCTTTACTGCAAGACTATTTATACTAATGTATTTACTATGCTTACTTATGTATATCTCATAAATACCTTCACAATTAATATCCCGTAATTTAAATATTGACTTATAAGTTATAATCATTTTTTTTAGTTTTTTTCTCTATAATGTCCTCTTGTCATATATTGAACATAATGATATATTATATCGAGGAGTCTAATATTTATAAGCCGTTGGCTTCTGTTTTAGACTTCCTCGTCACATACATATTATAGGATCTACTAATAACCTCTCATATTCAAAATAGTTTGGAGAACCCTATATTATGATGTAAATATTTAATCTTGTAAAAAATGTGTGACAAATTCAATTCAATTCAATTCAATTCAATATGGTTACTGATCTTGTCTTTGTATTTTCTGTACGCCTCTCGTATATGTTTCAGCTTCGTCTCGATTTGCTTCGCACTACGAATGAAGCCGCATTCCTTCATTTTCTCTGATAGCTTTGCATGAACAGCGCTATTTCGTACGCTAAACTCTTATAGTTGTGACTGTGAATATGTTCGTAACTCCACAATTCAATCCATTTGCGGGTCTCATCTTCTCCCCATACGCTTCGTCCACTACGGGCGGCCATCATAAACAACTATTTCTTGCAAATTTCAAAAATAATATGGTAGAACGTATGGCCAAGTGTGCTATGTAATCAATTTATGAATATCCCGCTAGTTTCTCGCTAATACATCGAGCTAAAAATCGAAAACCGAGTACTTACATCAAAGGCTCCAATTTTACTTCTGTTGCCAAGGAAATTGGTCTTGACGCGTCTTGGGTAAGTGAAAATGTGTTTACACTGTGAAAATCTATGGGAATATGATTTTCAACCATACTTGGCAGCTGGGTTCTATTATTATGTTGAATTATTTTCACTGTGATTTATTAAATACTGGGTATTATTGTATATGCCTGCAAAGCCCTGCTTATTAAAGTACAGTAGTTGGTGGTATTTGATCAATACTGCTTTATGGTATTACATAGAATGTAGTAAATTAAAAATATGATAACATTTCAGATAATCAGGCTTACATACTTGTATGTTGATGTCAGTTTCAATGCCTAACACATAGAATATAGTGAGTGTTGTGAGTCTAAAGAATTTTGATTGACAGTATTTGTGTTTTACTGATGTGAAACTGTGCCGGGTTTTATTGCAAATAGGGCGAGTTAAGCAAAATTCTGTCAACTTCTCATTGCGAGATAAGGCGAGATTGGGCGAGTTAAGCAAAATTCGATGAATTTCTATTGCGAGATAGGGCGAGTGAAGGCGAGTTAGGGCGAGTTAAGGTTCCAGAGTAGGCCTTTTAAATATGTTAGAAATTCATAGATCTGTGGTTAAAAGTGAAAAACATTCATGGCTAACATGACGCGAGCAACGCGAGGCTTCGTTGCGTGTTGAAGTAATTAGAATACCTCATGTTGAAACAATGTTTGGAAAATGTGCGCGAGGGCTTTTTGCACGCATGTATTTCTAGTAGAGGTAATATTATTAACCAATGCTATATACCTATACCTCTGTTAATAGCTACTAAAGCTTTCCATTATACATTTTTTAATATAGGTATGTACATGTATGCCAATACGTCGAGAATCTTGAGTACAGCCAAAGCAGGAAATTGGCAGGAATTAAAACGGTTGGTTGAATATGGTGCCAATGTTAATGAAAAAGACAATGACGGCAAGACAGTTCTTTGCTATGTTGCATCATCTGGTTCACTAGAAATGGTTGACTATTTAGTTGAACTTGGTGCCGTTGTAAATTGTAAAGACAACTGGAATAAAACTGCTCTTCACTATGCTGCTTGCTCCGGTTCACTAGAACTTGTCAAATATTTGGTTGAACATGGTGCTGATGTGGATTGTGAAAATGTTCAAAAAGAAACTGCTCTTCTTTATGCTGTCTACTCTGGTTCATTGGATATTGTCAAATATTTAGTTAACCAACGAGCAGATGTAAATTGTAAAAGCGAGGGCTATAGCACTGTTCTAAGTTTTGCGGTGAGAACTGGTTCGCTGGAAATGGTCAAGTATTTAGTTGAGCATGGTGCTGACGTAAATTGTGAAAACAATCTCACTGATAATCCTCTTCAGTGTGCTTCAATTATGAATTCTCTAGAAATAGTCAAATACTTAGTTCAACATGGTGCTTATATAAATTGTAAGAACGAGTTGAGTAAAACTGCTCTTCATTGTGCTGCTTCCGCTGGTTCATTGGATATTGTCGAGTATTTAGTGGAACATGGTGCGAATGTAAATAGTCTTTATCGCTATACTGGTAATGCTGCGACTGCCCTTCACTGCGCTGTTGTATCTGGTTCATTGGAAATTGTCAAATATTTAGTAGAGAATGGAGCGAATGTAACAAGAGAAGACTGCTATGGCGAGGAAACAGTTTTATTTTTGGCATGTTCCTCTAGAAACAGAAGTGAGTTTATTGTTGACTATCTTCTCGAACATGGTGGAATCAAAGACATTTATGACTACGATGGTTCTGGATGTTCTCTGTTAAGTAAAGCATGTTATTACGGCAGTACCGCCTTGGTTCGTACGTTACTGAAGTTTGAATTTGATATACGAAAAGAAATTGAATTAATATGTGGAAATGAAGAGATCTTCAATATTCTCAAACTGGAGTTAACAAAGTCTATTAAAAATAGCGGGAAAATTCAGATTTTGAAACGCATGAATAACGAAAATTTGACAAAGGTACATGCATAAAAACATTATAGAAATACATGCATGCAGAAACAACTCGACTTGTTGGAAAACCATTATATTTTCCAAACATGAAGTATTTGAAGTAGTTGTCGTGGTAACACGATCATTTAAATAATTTTTTAAAATTGAAAAATCCCCTAAAGTTTAAAAATATCACTTTTAATCACAAAATTATCAATTTCTCAAATATATATATATATATATATATATATATATATATATATATATATATATATATATATATATATATATATATAATGCTAAAATTGCAGCTAGGATTCATATTTATATATTAAAAGATTAAACGTTTGTTGCCACCAGCTATGTAAAAAACGTAATCACGTTTATAAAAAGTTTTTACAGAAACCTCCGATCAGAAACCTTTCGATCAGAAACCTCCGATCTTCGTCAGTTGATATTAAAAACTAAGAAGCCAATAAACAATATTACAAATAACAATTTGGATGCATCAGTGACCCATAAACGTCTGGAATGTCAATATGGTCATTGCCAGAACTTTTGTCCACTTGGGAATACCAAGCCTACTAAGCCTCAAGGAACAATCGTTTGCGACAATTTTTCTCTCTACTAACTATTTCGGCGGTTTCAAAGTCCATATTATGGTCATATTGCTCAACGTGTTGGGCTATCTTGGAATTTTTATCATTATATTCAACAGCTCTTTTATGTTCTTTTATTCTTGTTTTCAATGCTCGGTTGGTTTGACCATAATAAGTAAAATCACAAGCAGAACATTCAATTTTATGAACGATGTCCCTTGTACGGTTGGTATCTAGCTTATCTTTTGGCTTTGGAAATTCTTGCTGTAATGTGCGAGTTGGTTGGAATGAAACACGAATTTTCTCACGTTGTAATTTTCTTGTAATTCTTTCTGTAACGACATTTATATATGGTAGAACAACATAACTAGATGAAACTGTTGATTTTTGCGTTGCATTCACATTTTCATGCAAACTACTTAATTCCTTGTTTTTGTATCGCCTCCTGTTATCACAGCTTTTTATGAATTGTAAGGGGTAACCGTTATCTCTTAGGACA